AACATGAAGAAAGGGAAGTATTCCTTATGAGATATAGCCCATTTATTGCAAACTATTTGGCAAGGCAGGCCTTCTTTCTCAAGGCTTTTTTTCAGAGATTCTTCCTCATTTCCTGCCTCACTTTTCTTTTAGCCCTAATTCAAATCCCATGTAATGCCAGAGCATCCCGCATCACATGAGATTGCATGTTTATTTATTCTTAAGGCACACCAACACAGCTACCCATCGCATGTATGTTGCATCACACCACAACACACGGTAACCTATTACCAAGTGTTGTGGTGCAATTTAAAAAAAAATGTGCATGCACATCTTTGAGTGTGATTTAGATGCACTAGTCAGCTCATTTCAATGGATCAGTTGCCCTACCACAACGCACCCGCAATATGGCATCACAGTGATACAAAATAGGACTCAATCTTAAATGTAACAGTTGTCACTGAAACAAGAGGCAAGGGGAAAAATACCTGTTACAACTTTTAGAAACTGATTTTGTTCCCCTCATTGGGGAGATTCCATCTTATTTCCTATTTTGTGTCTAGCAGAAGAAATGTATTTATTTGTTTGTTTTATTTATTATTGGTATTCCTATAGCGCCAACAATTTACGCAGCGCTTTATTTTACCTAGTGCACATTCACATCATTTCCTGCCCTCAAGGTGCTTACAATCTTACAATCCTTAGCCCATATGCATACATACAGGGCCAATTTAGACAGGAGCCAATTAACCTACCAGCATGTCTTTGGAGTTTGGGAGTGAAAACTGGAGTACCTGGAGGAAACCCATGCAAGCACAAGGAGAAAATGCAAACTCCTTGTAGAAAGTGACCCTGATCAGGATGTGAAGACATTATTAGAAATATGCTCAATGAGAAAAAAGACAGCAATAACCTGCTTGAAATTCTTCCCTACCCCATTCTTCCACAACTATAGTAAAAACTCTGCCTGGAGTCCCACTTTAACTAAGATTGCATAATGTGTTTTTAAATCAACTTTGTACTTGATACCGCTTTCATTAAGGTATTAGCACTAACATAATTAGGTGCAGTATAGGTAATCTGAGCAGATTGCAGGAAGCTCAGCATAGAGTTGCCCTGAACACATTTATAATGTTATCAGGTAAATCCTTCCACTTGAAATATGTTCACCACCACTGACATGTGCAATATGAAAGAGATCAGATCTTCATTTCCTTTGCTGCCGAATTTTAGTCTCAAACAGATGTATAATATTATGAAGGCACTCTGCCTGAGGCTTGGCATTTGAAGTATTCTGCCAGCACATAAGCCTTTCTTATTGATAACATGTGACAGCTTATGCAATTTGGTTTAGCATATGCTTTATATACCTGGAAGACATTGAGACATAAAGGGCTTATGTGCAGTACAGTGGAAGGTCAGAGTACAGTGCGTGTGCAGGATAGAATTTGTTTCTGTTGCCTAGTCCAACATCTCTGAGCAATCCCTGGTATCATTTTAAATGTTTTTATATTTTAAATATTTCAGCACCAAAAGTTTTCTGTGAACATGGTTTTGTGCTACCGAAGAATTACCCCAGGATACATCCGATTATTGCAGGTATGTGTTCAACAAAGAAGTTTCATTTTATTTGTTCCAGCAGGGAAAGAACAATAATTTATTATGCAAAGGTGAAGTTAATTCAATGCCCTCTGAGTTTCTTTAAAATATGATTTGCAGCACAGAACATTATTCAACGAAGGCAGCATAGCAGGTATGATGGTATCTCTAACTTTACTAGCTGAATATGAATGCAACTTGACAATCACATTTACACTGGGGTGAACTGAAGTTCCTGTCACTTGTAAAGAAGCGACATCTGCAGAAAAAAAGAGAATTTCTCTGCTACCTGCACTGCATTTTAATTGTGATTTTCATTAAACACTTTTTAACATTTAGTTTTACTAAAAAAACAATTTTCTAACTTTTCATATAGAACAAATGCTACTAATGCACTCAGTTAATAAATAATCTGTTAACAAATCTCTGTTTTAGCCAGTCATATCCACTCTGTATGGTGCCATCAGAAACAAGAAGATTGGAATCTTATCACATACTATCTGTCTGTTTAGGTTGCTGCACATCTATGATTTTCTGTTTTGTATCAGTGTATTATATATAATAGACTGATTGTCAGTTTTCCATTTTAATGACCCTCAAAAAGACATGGGCATTTTTATCTAATCCAAATCATGTTTAATATTAATGCAGCAGACTGCAGTAGTACATATTATGCCACAGGCTGGCAGAATAATAATATTACTTTATTTGGTACAGGGATAAAATGAGATTTGTAGAAATTAGAAAGACTTTTACATTAAGCTTGACATTTTTTGTATGGCATATAATATTAGACAAAATGTTTCATTGTTAACTTTGTGAAAGATCAATTTACTCTGCCAAGGGTTTTTTCAGGCCAGTCCATCTGGAAAAAAAATGGATTAAGATAACCTTTTCTTTTTTGCTTAAATGATAAGTGAACCTTTTAGTGCACTATCCTGAGTCTGCTCCTGGCTAAACCCCTGCAGCAACTCTGTGATTGTAATGCAGTCGAATAAATGTGCTTTAGATGTCATTTCCACGGCCTTTCCTCAGGTCCTGATTCTAAGAATGATTCTCTGCTATATGCCAGAAAAGACCAGAAAGTATTATGTTTGTCTTGTGTGTATGTGCCAAGCCAAGAATGCAAATAACCGTAACATTTATAGCAGGGCATGACATGTGTGGGGTGCATAACATCATTCTAAGTGTTGAAGCCTGAGGCTGGGTTTTGGGAACTACATCTAGGGCAGATTTTCTTTACTGATGTATAATAAAGAGTTGCTGCAAACTCTACAACAATTAAAACCCAACATGGGTTCCAACCATTCCCCACTGGGTTCAGTGTGAGCTGAATAGACACTTTAACTTTTCGAATGCGAGTTATTTCGAATGCGAGTTATTTATCCATTACATTGCATCACCCGGGTGATGAGGATATATAAGTTTAGTAATACTTTCCCTCTCCCTAGGAAACAAATGTAACTAGACAGCCTTAATTTGAAGGCTTTTAAAACACACATACACCTGCTATACAAGCCATTTTATAATCTAATGATATTAAAGAACTTACCATTTCTATTTCAGTTTTCATCCAGTTATGATCTTCTAAAACTGTCAATAAAACCCCAACTGATTCTTTATTGCAACAATGGTAACCATTTGTAGACAGGTCTTTCCAAAATCCTTACCACCCATTTTATTTAACTGGTATGCTGCTTGTATTATAAATCTGCACCAGGGTCAGTTTATAGGCAGCCTGTTGCATGGGATATGGCACCCTCAGCAGTGTCCTTTGGTCACTGCACCTGAGAATTTCCTCCTTGGCAAAGAACTTGCACATCTAATGGGAGTTGCAGAATTTCTTGCTAGAACATGTGAGTATATTAAAGCCAGCAATAAATCCTCAAATGTGCTAAAATTACTTTTTTTTGTTATAAATTATTATTATTATTATACAGGATTTATATAGCGCCAACAGTTTGCACAGCGCTTTAGAAAACTGAGGAAGACAATACAATTAACAATACAATTTCAGTACAGGAGGTAGGAGGGCCCTGCTCGTGAGAGCTTACAATCTAGTAGGAGGGGCAAGTGACTTAAAAGGTAATAACTGTTTGGGATGATTTAATGGAAGAACTGAAAGTACTGTTATATCGAGGTAGAATAGGCCTCCGTGATAAGATGAGTTTTCAAGGATCGACCTAAAGGTGGACAGAGTAGGAGATAGGAGGACAGATTGGGGTAGGGAGTTCCAGAGGATGGGAGACACTCTGGAAAAATCTGAGAGAAGAGCATGCGAGGAGGTGACAAGAGAGCTGGAGAGCAGGAGGTCTTGGGAAGAGCGAAAGGGATGGTTTGGGTGATATTTTGAGATGAGGTGGGTGAGGTAGGATGGGGCAGATTTTTAAAAGGCTTTGTAGGTTATTGTTAGTATTTTGGATTTTAGATGTTCGGGAGGTGGGAGCCAGTGGAGCGATTGGCAGAGGGGGGTGGCGAACACTGATCGGTTGTTAAGGGGAATGAGTCTGGCAGCAGCATTCATGATAGACTGAAAGGGGGATAGCCTGCTTAGTGGTAGGCCAACAAGGAGGGAGTTACAGTAGTCGAGGTGAGATATTACAAGGGAGTGAATTAGAAACTTTGCGGTATCATTAGTTAAGAAGGGACAAATTTTGGAAATGTTACGGACGTTGAGTCGGCAAGATATGGATAGTGATTGGATGTGGGGCTGAAAGGAGAGCTCAGAATAAAGGATTACTCTGAGCACCCTGACTTGATGGAAGGGGTTGATTGTAGTGCTGTTGATTGTGATGGAGAAGTCGGGGGAGGGAGCACAGAGAGGAGGAAATATTAGAAACTAATTTTTGGACAGATTTAGTTTGAGGAAGTGGTGTGACATACAGGGCTAGGAGATATATTTGGGTGTCGTCAGCATAGAGATGGTAATGGAAGCCATGGGAGGTTATCAACTGATCTATGGTGGATGTGTAGACGGAGAATAGAAGGGACCCAAGAAAAGAGCCTTGGGGGACCCCCACAGATAGAGGAAGAGGAAAGGATGAAGTAGAGTTATAGGTGACACTGAAGGTGCGCTGAGATAGGTAGGAGGTGAACCATGAGAGAACAGAGCCTCGGAGGCCAAGGGATTGGAGTTCATTGAGGAGGAGTGGGTGGTCAACTGTGTCAAAAGCAGCAGAAAGGTCCAGGAGTATGAGTACAGAGTAGTGGCAACAGCATTTATATACTTTTTATGTTGACTTTCAGTACAAACCTTATATAAAAACACAGTTATAGCATGCATACTTTGCTTCGCCATGCTTTAATGCCAGGAAAAAAAAATGAGTGATGGCTACATATACAATTTTCCGATATTATGCAATGTTTTAAGTGCTAATGTGCACGGCAGACTAAAAATCTTTTTTTTTTTTCTTTTTCACTAGATCCAGACGGCCGGGAAAATAGTTTTCAATGGAACGGACGCACTAATAGAGCGAGCAGCTTTTTTATTAGGTGTTTCTGGAATCTGGATCTCCAGCTACAGTACACGACAGATGATTAAATAAGAGTAACAAGTGATGGATGTGCACTTTTTTCTGAGCCCAAGTGCTGTATTTTTTTACAGGGTCATAAATATAAAACACTGAAATATCATTTATTTTCCTGTCATTAAGTGACATTACTAAAATATCAGCATTAATTGCAACATCTCAAATGTTCCTAAGATCTAATGACTATTATTAATGTGATGCCCATTCTCTTTAAAATGTGTTTTTGTGAAAAACATTTAGAACCGGTTATATTCTGTACTTAATAATGCACTCTTTGCAACACAGTATAGATGTTCTGTATATGTATAAATTCTTCTCTAGAAATAATAAAGATTACTTATAAAACAAAACACGTGCATTGCAAACACACCTGTTAACCCACTCATATTACATTTTAATATTTCAGCTTAATATACCATTTCAGCCTGCAGGACTGGGCACATGTTTGGAATGCTAGACAGCTCATTTTGATGCACATGAACTGTGTGAGGTCCAGACCTGCTCAATAAACAGCTGTTATGATTGATTATTTGGGAAGTATTTGTATCATGGATTTATGAATAGGTTACATTATCCTCATATTCTTTTATGTAGGCTGGCACAATTTAGGGGTCAGGTTCTGGTTGTTTCTGTGGTTCCCCACACCTAACACGTAGGAATTCAGTATACTTTTTACGGAAGTACTTTTTGTAGACATACATAGATTCCAAATAAATAATGCATCACTACGTGTGCAGTAGCTCATAGCGACAAACCATTATTTTGAGAGAACCATTATCTTTGATGTTTCCACAGTTTAGTTTACTTAGAGCAGTAAAATAGAATATCTGATTCTTTGCAAGGGATCAACCCACTTTGCACATTCATTTGGACCAGGGGTCAGCAACCTGCGGCTCCGGAGCCGCATGTGGCTCTTTCATCCCTCTGCTGCGGCTCCCTGTCCAGGGGCGGAACTACTGCTGGGGCCTGTGGCTGTGGGGGGGCTCAGTGAGGTCCGATCCTGGGCATCCCCCGGGTCAAATATGCGACAGAGCAGGGTCCGGGGGTCCTGCACTGCCGACGGGCTTCTCAGCGGGTCCTGTGACTCGCTGAGAAGATCCTGTGAACACAAGACAGTTTTAGACAATTCCTTAGAAAAAAAAAAAGTGTCCATCCATGTAATCCACTGGTCAATCACGTCGTCCAGCGATGTAGATCCTCATCAATGAACAAAGGCCGCCGACTCGCCGAAATAAAAAAAGTCCAGCCATCCCGTCCGATGCTGCCGAACTCCCGCCGTAAAATGACAGCTCTGGTCCAAATGTAAACAAATAGACAGAGCGAGTCCCATGGTGTCATGACTTGCTCCGCTCATTTGTTTACATTCGGGCCAGAGCTGTCATTTTGCAGCGGGAGTTCAGCGGCGTCAGGACTTTTTTTCATTTCAGCGAGTCAGCGACTGTCGTTCATCATGATTGACTACATCGCTGGACGACCTAGATGGACACTTTTTTAAATTATTATTTAATATAGGAATTGTCAGGGTCCCCCCTGGCAAAGCACCCTCCCAATGTCGAGAGTATGTGGCCTGGTACGGTTGCAGGGGGAGGCAACACACTCATCTG